CTAATATATATAAATGATCTTCCAGCTAGAATTCCTAAAACAATTAAAGTTAAATTATTCGCTGATGATTTAAAAATCTACTGTTTCCATACAACAAAGAAAGATAAACTTGATTTACTAAATGCTATAAAACTGATAGAAGAATGGACAAACTATTGGGGATTAGAAATATCCCTAGAAAAAACATTTATTGTTTACATTGGAAAAAATAACTCTAAAGAACAATATAAGCTGGGAAATAAAACAATAAATGAAACTGAATCAATTTCAGATCTAGGAATATTGATTGACAATAAATTAAAATTTAGCGGTCATATAAATAAAATCACTAAGAATGCATATTTTAGGATGCATCAGCTTTTTAAATATATCAAATCTAAACGTATAATAGTTTGGATAAATATATATAAAAGCTACATTAGACCACTCCTAGAATATTCTCCTGAGGTTTGGAACCCTAATCTTGTATCTGACATAAAGAAAATAGAGAAATGTCAAAAATATTACACCAAGATTGTTTTAAAAAAATGTAGACTACCATACATACCATATGAAGAAAGATTGTCATTCCTACAAATTCCAACGCTTGAAGCCCGCAGAAAATTTATTGAACTTACTACGGCATTTAAGATTATCAATAATCTTACTTGTCTAAAGCCATCATCATTAAATCTCCCAGTTTTCCAAGTCACTGATATACTACTTACAACTCTTGAACTCTTGATATCTCGAAATCTGGAAAGATATTGAAATCAGGAAATATATAAAAGAATAAAGGAATACATAATTATACAGTTAACAATAATTTAAGATAAAAATATGTACAATTATATTATTTATTTAGCTGCAATCTCCTTTTCCATTTGTTTAGAGTTGAATTACAGCTCTAAAAAAGCTAAAAGCATTAATTTAATAATAATATTTTATTAACATTTTATAAAATAATAATTTTGTTTTAATAATATTTTTGTTATTTCAACAAATAAACGAGATACAATTTGCCGCTAACCTCAGTAATCTAACTACAAATTTCAACATTGAACCTAGCCACGACATTAATAATTCATAATAGTCAGACTGAAGGACGAGAAAATATGTTAAAACAATTTCAAGAACTTTTGAAAAATCCTCCACAACCATCTCATAGTTCGTCCTCAATGCTTCCAGAGTTAATAAATGAGAAAGAATCAGGTTTTTAATATTTTTAAATTCATTTGTAAATATTTAATTCAAGAAAATATATAAAAATATTTAGATAAATGTTTTTATAATATCAATCTGTAAAAAATGCTAAATATACTTTGATAAAAATAAAAAGATTATGAAAGAATCTAAACTTATGTGTTTTTTTCAGAATCGGGATCAATTTATTAAAGCTCGAATTTTTAAAAATTTTTATCAAAAATAGAAATGAATTAGAGCGTAATCCCCAAAGAACAGAAAGGATTAAGTTTTCTTTAATTAGCATGTAGCATCTATTTTAAATAATAATTAAAGTGCATAATATCTTTGCTTTGATCAAGATGGTCTGTTTCAGAATTTATTGTATTTATATTTATCTCATTGTGTGGATTTTGATTTAAATAATTATTTGAATGAGTAGTAATTGATATGTTCTCGTTATATTTCTGATAATTTTGATAAATATTTTTTATTAAATTTTTGTAATGTTCTTGTTGATTGCCTCTATATTTTTATTTTTTAATATTTGCTTTTTTCAAATTTATATCTCTAATAATCTTATTACTTTCAATTATCTCTTTAACAATGTCTTGGAGAGATTTTTCAGGCGGTTGACCTTCTAAATTTAGCTATTTCTAAGAATTTAAAGGTTTTGTAAGAATTTTTTACACTTATCTAGTTTATTTATTTATAAAGTAATAAAAGACCTCTAGACAGTTTCCAGTCTTCCTTAAGTTGTCTTGATGCAAGTGCTTCAAGTTTACAAAGTTTTGGATCCTGTTGAAATATATGATCAAGTGTATCTAAATTTAAAAATACTACATATTATTGTGTGTATTTTTTCTCTATTTCTTCTAGAAAGTTGATATGTTAGAACAATTAATATTATAGATATAGATACAATCATTATTATAGTAAACTAACAAGAGGTGAGCTCGTCTCGGTCCTCGCCAAGAACCTCGCCGAGGACCGAGGCTAAATAAACACCCCTAAATGACTTTTTCAGAAATGGAAGAAATCTCGCTTCTTTATCTTCAAAATTCGCAAAATTTTCGTCTGTGGAGCTGAAAATGAAAGGATCGTGTTTTTTGACTCGTAAAATTCTAAAAAAGATGCGCCTGCGATGATTTTTATGCTCCTTTACTATCAAATCTACAATATCTCCTTTAATGCTCCAATTTTTCACAAATATTCTTACGACTCACACTAATCCTTCAGAATCCCCTTATATCTTCCTTAATTAAATATAATTTTATTTTATTATTATTTTATTTTACTATAATTCTCCATATTAACTCTATCCCTGAAGATTTCTGATATCCTGTCTAATCGCACAAATCCGCTTAAATACAATTAAGTCATCAAAGTCACCTTATATCCTTACTAGCTTTATTTCAAATACTAAGTGTTTGAAAAAGTTTGATCAAAGCTTCGAAATTATTTGATCAAAGCTTGTAGTTGTCTGTTCTACACGGGCAGTCTACTGAGTATGTATAAGATGGAACATATTAATTTGATAATAAATTAGCTAATATCTCATAAAATTTATTGAATTTAAATAGATTCTTAATTTTTTAGAACCCTCTGTTATCCGCGGTCTTCGTTCTCGGATCCAAATTATCCCATCCACCTCGATCCTGGCTATTCAAATAGAGATGATCCATGGCCTCGGGGTTTTTTCAAAACCCTACCTGTGCTATTCTAATTATAATACAATATTTATAGCCCAATCATGTACAGACCTTTTTTCTTTCCTTTTCCCCCAACAAATCCTGAACAATTGTTGAGCTCATTTATTGTATCTCTTAATTGATCTTCATATCCTTCTAAATAAGCATTATGTTGTTCAATTTCTTTTATAAAATTTTCAATTCGATTAATTTTTCCTTCATCAAACTCATCAAAAATTTTTAAATTTTCTTCTTTTAAAAATTTATTTTTGTAATCTTCAAATTTATTCATCGCTTCCTTGCAATTGATCACCTGATTTTTTGCAATATTGATCAATTCTTTATAGCATTTTTCTTAAATATGTATTTATTATTATCAGGGAATGTAAATGTAGGGAGCAAATAAATTTGCGTCAAAATTAAACTTTTTTTAAATATTTTACCATTTTGGTTTTTATTATCTTTTGTCAAATCAACCAAAATTTGTGGATTCGATTTATCTAAAATTTGAACAGTTTTTTGTATACTTGGAGGATTATAAATTATTTCCTTTCCTTTCCGTTTATTCCTTGGTTGAAATTCTGGATATATTCTTTTGTAACCCTCCCATTGCTGAATAATTATTCTTTCATTAATCTCTATAGGGTTTTCCATATTAAGGTTACAGAATGCAATAAAATTAGTTGATGGATTGCTTGGTTCATTATTTTGAACTTTTTGTACATTTATTAAATAAAGGTTTTCTACGTAGTTTTCGAATAAAACTTCATTACATTCAAATGGGATTGATAAAGGCTGAATTGAATTTTTATATTATATGAGGTTATGATTAGGAAATGATGGTTGAAAATGCTCAAATTAATGAAATTTTTTAATTTGGTTTGACTTGGAAGTGAAGGTATGTATTAAATAGGGTTTGACCCCGAACGCTCGGGGGCGGGTATGTCGGGGTACGGGGTTTTCGAAATGTTTCGGGGCGGGGTTCGGGTCGGGGGAGCAAAATATGGCCGGGGTTCGGGTCGGGGTACGGGGGTTTACTGGGAAAATTTTTTAATGGAAAAATGCTCTAAAAATAAGCCGTTTTGGGTCTATTTTAGTTAATTTATTCATAATGAGAATAAGGTGGGATTAAAAGAAAATAAGAGAAATTGGAGTGATTAATTAGATCTGGAGGTAATTAAGGAGGATTTGGAGGGATTAAAGCGGATATCCGGTGATATAAGAAGATTTCTGGGGACTAAGGGTGAATATCATTGATTTGAAGTATTATCGATGATTAGGGATTTGGAGGATATCATATCTCTCTTTTCTGCGCCGCAGGCGAAATTTTGAGAATTTTATAAGGCCAAGAATCGTTTTTTGCGCCCAGGCAAAAATTTTGAGAAGCTTGGAAGGCCAAGAGACGGATTTCTTACATTTCCAGCTCCGCAGGCGAAAATTTTAAAAATTTTTTAGGTCAAAAAGCCGGATGTCTTCGTTTTTTAGCTAAAAAATCTTTACATTGTTTTTTATGGTTGATAATATTTAAAAATAGATTTACATTTTAAATTATAATTGAGCTCTTGATTTTGTGAAGAAAATCCTTAAACAAACAAGTCCAGCTTAGTTGGATCAACCCCAATCCTATATTTATAGGAATAAACGTAAAACCAAAAACTAAGCCTCTCAACCAAAAGTCTCTTAATAGCAGGAAAACGAATTTTGATATTTCTTTCATATTTCATTCAAAAATAATAAGGGCAAAGGAAATTGGAAGGAAATTTTTTAAATTTTTTTCTTAAAATTCTGCCAAAAATGACATTTTTTGGGTATGTAAAACCCCGATAACCCCGAAACTTTTCGGGTCGGGGTACGGGGTTTTCACTTTTTTTCGGGGCGGGGTTCGGGTCGGGGAGAATCGTGAAAAAATCGTTCGGGAACGGGGTCGGGGTCAAACCCTAGTATTAAATTCGCACATGTAGCATTTTTGTGAACACTCTTAAGGGATAACGCAATTTAAGTTTTAATTTATTAGTTTTATATTTCCGGCAAAGAGGTTGATGTAAAACCGAAGTCTAGTTCTTATTATCATTTTAAACAATTTTTTTAAATAATGAAAACCGTTTTATGAAAAAAATCCAAACACCCTTAAGAAATGGTTATCCCAATCTATAACTTTCTAGTTTCGAGCTTGAAGTTTCGATTCTCATTTTTAATCCACCAAAAACCTACAATATCGAATTCATTTTTCTCTACTTTAAGCAAATATTTATCATTTAGACAAATTCTCTGATCAAAATATATAGATGAATAATAATCATCATATTCTTCTAAATGAAAAACAAATTCTTTCTTCTCGCATATAATACTCATTTTTAGGTTTTTTTGAAATTTATTAACTAAAAATTTTAACACTATTTTTGGCCTTTCAAGATCCAATGCTTTTACATTTGAAAATTGCTTTTCTTCAAATGACGGATTGTTTTTTAATTGAATTATTACAATTTTGTCAACTGCACTAATTTGCATTGAATCGATTATTAACTAGAATTTTATTTAAATTTTAATAGATTAAATATTTAATGATTGGAGGATGATCCATTAAAACGCTAAAGTAATTGTTTTGGAACTTCGGGCTTTTAGCGTGATGACTAGTGGAGCCGCTTCCTCTGATATCATTTGGATATCTGGATCCAGAACTCCTATCCGATAATTTCGGCTTGAGTATATTAATTTTTATTTCAAGAAAGTTTTAGCCTTGCAGATATGAATATTTTGAATTAATTCTTTGGAACCGCCACCCCTGTTATTGCTTAAACACGTTCAGATTAAATTTTTTTAAAAGCTTAGGTTGTTACTTTAAAATTAATTAATAGTTAAATAATTCTAACCATTTTATTCCACCAAACTTTAATCAAATAAATATTATTTTGAAAGGATAAAGCTTTTCCTCCATCTGTAGATAATTCATTTTCATCAAACTTACAAACATCGTATTTTTCAGTTATTTTAATGTAAAACTTATGTTTAGGTAAATATTCATTATTATTAATTTTTTTGAAAGGAAAAAGTCCTACTTCAAATCTATGATTTTTCAATTTTATTAAATTATTAAATAATTCTGGAGGTAATTCTTCTTTGAATTTTCTCCATTCAATTTTAATTAATAAATTAAATAAAGCATTATGGACAAATTCAAACTCTATGATTATTAATAGGAAAATAACCAATTTCATTCTTTTATTCCTTAAAAATTAAAATTTAGTTTCAAACGTTTATAAAGATTGTCAAAATTCAAATTTAAGTATTGGTTTGTGCTTGATTTTTATTTCAGGGAAGTCTTAGGCTGACAGATATGATACATGAAAGACCGTTGTCTTTGGAAAAATGAGCACGATTTAGCTTCGATTCATGGCAACACTTTTAGAAGTCTGTTATAATGTAGTTAAACAGTCCACTCACTCGTATAACTAAAATGAAAAGACAATCTGATCTAACTTATTTGTATAGGTAAACAAGTTACTGTGTAACAATTATATGTAACTATCTAGTTCTACGGTAGAATAATTAAAAGCCATTGTGTATGATTTAATTACATTAGAAAGCTTAAGAATAATCGGGAAAATTCATTTAAATAAATAGTGAAAATAAAAGTTATTTCATTTTAAAGTCTAACAAAGTGCAACCATGTGAATTAATATTGCACTCGTTTTAATTAAGAAATATTATTTTTGTCTGGGAAAATCAAAAGGGTGAATTTTTAAATTATTTCTTAAGATTTAATTAATGCACTTTGAAAAAATAAAAACCGTGCTTAATCTTTATGGAAAATCTGAAAAAATTCTAGAGATCTTCCCTAACAATGTGATAAAGAATGGCTAATTAGCTGATGGTCAACTCTGCCCCATCATCGAAATCTTAAGGTTAAAAACAACGGGAAATGTGATTCTGAATTTTTTTAGAAATTTATTTATATTTTTTGATAAGTAGATTGAAACTTTTTGTTTTAAAGGCAATAATGTCGACGTTTTTTACTATACATATTACCGAATTTCATTCAACTAACTTGAAGTTCAGAACATTTGCTAAAACAAGTTGACATTTATCATATTTTATTAGTACTCACTATTAGTTAGCCGAAGTCTACCATACGCCTTATCATAAAATAGATTCCTTAATTCTAAGTAGTATCAAAAAATTAGGCTGACATTAAATACCAAAATTAAAAGCTGTATGATTTGTATAATTTGCAATCTTAAGAATCTTACGCTTTATAATCAATCTTTTCCATCTTAATATTTTTTTCTCATGTTTTTATTTTAAAATTGTTAATTTATGTCTAATTTATGTAGAATTAATACAAAAAATAAAAGAAATTCAAATGCATAAATTTTTAATTATATAATTGTCATAAAATGAAGTTTAGAAGTTTATTCAACGAAATATGAATTAGTTAAAATATTAAAAATATATTCCGGATAAATAAGAAAATTACATGGTGAGCGCCAAATTATTATTCTGACATCTTTTCATTAATTTTTACCATTGGGCTGCTTACTAAAATTTTAATAAAAAGTAAATGTTAAGAATAAAAACATTTTTTGTATAGTTCAAAATGCACATTTCATTTGAATGTATTATGTTTATCTATAAATTAATTTAGAAAGAAACTATTTAAAAGTTGAAGTAGCTATGCTAAGTAAATAATTATGAAAAAATGTTTGTGTAGGTAAAATTCCAAGATATAATTAATTTTAATAATTTTTAAGAGTAATATTAGAAGCCCCTAAAGCATGTGTGCAAAATAAATCAAAAATTCGTCATTTGAGTATAAACATCATTTGAGCTCCACAAAGTTATAGCCCACCTATATTTTACTCGGTTTCAATAGCCTCCAAAATTCTCAAAATTTTCGCCTGCTCATATATATAAGGTATATAGATATCATATATACTTACTGCAGGATCATCCTAAGTTGTCTTTATCTAAATTTCCTGAGGCAATTGCGTTTGGGCAAATTCACCGTATTTGTCTACGTATATATAATGTGCTTTTCCATCTTTTCCGATCATATAATAGTCTCCGTCATATGAAAACCATTGTTGCCATTTTTCATTAAATAAATTATTTGTAAACGAATTGTTTATTTCTCTTTGATTCAAATATTTTATTACATTTTTATTAAATTTAATTCTATTTTCGATTATCTTTTCATCATCAAATAAAGGTGCTAGTCCATATATACCAGCTATAAATTCAAACGAATATTCACCTCTAAATAAGTCGACTTGAGTAAAGAATTTATTTCCATCCTTTATCATCACTCCATCATCCAAATCCCTAGAACTTTTAACAATCGCAAGTCCTACACCCTTCTTTAATTTACCCAAGTTATTCCTCTCTTCTTCTAACTCAATTTTAAATTTAGTTGAAACACATTTTTTAAGTTCATTATCAACTGTTACAAAAAATTGCAATGCTTCTACAGTAATGTAGTCTGTATCTAAATTTCCCGAGTTAATTGCGTAAATGGCTAAAATATAGTTGCCGTATTCTTTGTATTCTGCACATATTTTAATATAATTCACTCCTTCCAAATTTAATGACCATTTAAATTTCGTAATAATTGCTTCGTCATTATGTGCATTTTCGATCATTAGTTCAAAATTTAGTTTGGTATGAAAAAGTGGCTCAATTGTGATCAATTCCTATATGTATGAAATCAGGGATATCGCGGGTTGAGAAACTCCTTTCGGATAGGTATTTAAAAATTTTCTTCGTACCACCTTAATCTTGGATCACCTTAATCTCGTGTTGAGATTAAGGTTGTTCATAAATTCGTGCGTTTTTATGGTTTCTTAGTTAATTGCTTTTATCTTAGGTTAGTTTTCGATAAATTTTTTTAAATCATCCTATTTGGAAAATAGAATAATTAGGCTAATAGGATGAATTTATTGATTGATTGCCTATTTTTTTATAATCTTTCACTTATTTTAAATTATTTTGTGTTTTTAGAAAAAGAAAAATTTTTTGGATAAAAACGCATGAACTTATGGACCACCCTGGTAATTGATATTCAATATCTATAGGTTAATCCACTATTTATGTGGAAGTATCAGCTGATTTGGGACGGGGCGGGGGGTGCTGATTAAGAGGTGTCATCAAGACACTAAAAGAAGCTGATGAGAATATCGTGAGCTTGTGAGAAGTAAGTTGATTATAAGAGTTAAGTGAAGTCGAAATTCCGACCCAACTCTGGTCTTTACTAGTCCATTTTGTTATATAATCAATTTATTAAAATTTAAAATAAATTAATTTACATGATGATGCCCATCCAATTCTAAACAACAACTAAATCCACCTCTGTATAGATCTTTAAATTTTTCTATAAAATGAATTTGTTTTTTCTCTTTTGTTATATTCTCTACTTTATATATTTTATCTTTAAATGCTAAATTCAAATATTCGCAAGAATATTGTAATGTCCTTATGTATATTTTGTGCTTTTTGTTTATAGCCCCAAATTCAATAATTATTTCCAAAGTTTTTTCTGTTGTATTTTCATTTGTTTTGTTTATTTCAATTTTCTTCACAGTAATATCTCCAACGAGATTTTCATGATTTTTTGTAAAAATAAAGCGTTGGTGTGTTTGAATATTTGAAAATGAATAAGAAAACAACAAAAAAATTAAATTGAAAAAAATTTCAATTTTAATAGAAATCATTTTTCTGAAATTTTAAAATGGGAAGCTTTTTAAAAAATTTTACAAGCAATTTATGAGGAAAAACATAATTTAAAACTATTTTATAAAGGATTGAAGGCATATTTATGATGAACATATATTATTAAAGAGATGTGTATATGTATATTTTTAATTCAAAATAATTAAATAATTATTATAAGAAAAATAATTAAAAATTTCGTTGAATTTCTTTTAAATTTATAAAATAGAATTATAACTTTGTTAATAAAAAATAAATTTTCAAAGTTATATTTAAATTAAAAAATTATGTTTATTTATGAAAATATTTATATGAAAATGTATATACAATGTATTTTTAAAGTGATGTTTACTTATATTTTTAATTTCATAATTTAATGCACTTTTATTTTTTATATTTCTCACGTGAAGATTTGCCCTTTTAAAAATATAGTTTGTAAAATAAAAAGAAAATTAAAAAAATAAACAGATTATAAGATTGACCTTTAATGAAATTTTCTTTGAAGTTTTTATTTATTATATGTATATGTATAAAGCTAGGATTTTTATGCACATAAAGTTACAAATAGGGGCCTAGAAAACTGCCAAAACTCGCACATAAATCCGAAAGAAGGTATGACCTGCACGGGGAACACCGATCCTCGACATCCCCGATACTTTTAATAATAAAGTATGTTTTAAATTTTACTTGAGTAAGAAAGATTTGGAGAGATGTCGGGTGATTTGGAGATTTATATGAAATATTGAGGGAAAGGACAGGGTATCATTGGAGGCGATATCACGGGAATTAAGGATCTCGTACAATAT